CTTTTTCTCAATTTTTGACTATTTCATTAAAAACTTTGATCATTCTTAATTTCATGGCAGCAACGCATCTAAAAAAAAAAAAAAAAAGGTTGGGTTCCACAGAAACCTTCTCTTGGCCAAACCGTTATGTGATCAAATCGAATTTTCAATTCTTTTTGGAAAACATGGATGCCATGCCCGCTGGCTAAAGAGGACAGGTATGAAACATCTGGATTGGTATCAGTGCTCAGTTCGAAAGCTTGAATCTCTGATTCTATTACACTCATTGTAAAAGAGCCTGTCACAAAATGAGAAATACAGTCAACAAGTCCCAGGACTGTTTAGCTGCTAGAATCCCATGTCAACAACATTCCTCTCCCAAAGGTCTGGCAACTGGTCTGCTCGATTCCCAGATGTTTCCCTGCTGTTGAAAGAAGAGGGGATGCTGCACGTTGGTAACATCATGTCCCCGTCCCAACTTTTGAGACGTGTTGCTGCCTTCAAATTCAAAATGAGTAAATAAAATTTTATTTGAATTTGCAAATCAGTAGATTCCATTTTTATTTACATTTCACACACTGTCACAACTTTTTTTTTGTTGTTGTTGCAAATTTAGGGTTGCGTATACAAATGATTGTGGTACTTTTGCATTACAGTGCACTCATTCTCCACCAATATCTTCCTTGAGACAGCTCTGTTATTGCATCCAGTAAACAACAGATCACTGCTCTTAGGAAAGCCTATTCCTGTAGTGTAGCATTTTGATTATTTTAGTGCTGTGCCCAAGTGTATTTTAACAGGAAACACTTTGGTGGACCTTAAGTAAGTGAAGCAAATAGAAACACATGGAGGAAAAAGCGAGTTGGACAAAAACAAACAAAAAACTTTCCCCAGTGAAAATGATGCGTTTTGATCACCGTTTTAGTGGTAATTGTGTGGAATAGTACACTGTGGGCATGAGACAACTACCAAATAATCCCCTACCCTCGAGAACAAAACACAATAAAAGTGCATATAAAATGCAGATGTTCAGTCATTCTCTACACTCTGTTCCTTTGGGTCGACTAAAAAGCCGTGACAGTGCTCGGTATTTACATTGGATTTACTCCAGAAGCTTGGCCTTAGGGTGGAAGTTTTCCATCACTTTTGGAGAAAAAACAAGTGAAAAATGTAAACTCATCTCAACCTCCCAGATGTTTCCTGTGTGGAGGGTCGATCATTAAAAGCCCAAGTTCATCTGCTCAGCCCTCACCGTATTGAAAATCCCTGTCGTAGTCTGGAAGAAGAAAGCAAAAAAGAGGAAACAAATGAGAAGCAGATTTACGCACTGACACGCTTCAGCGAGTACTCACAATATGACATCAGTTCTAGAGCATTATTAACCACTATGAGCCTAGTACCAGTTTACAGTAAATGCTCTACAGCGAGTACTTAGATTAAGCTAATTTGACTTTCTAAAAAAAAAAAAACCCCCACAATACCCACCTTTGTCATCATCAGCTGCAGAAACTGTGAGAGAGAAAGCAAAGAACATTGACCTCTATTAAGAAATTCAGCAGGTTACATAAGTGCATGTCAGCAAATGAGAGGCTGTTGTTGGACAAAACTGGGTTGAGCAAACATCTGAAACAGCGCCTATTAATGAAGGTCTTCATTTTGTAGCTGGCTCCTTAATTAAAACAAAACAGAACAAAACACGCACGCATGGACATTGTTCTCATGGGAACAGCGTGTTAACACTGTTAAGACCCAACTTCAAATCAATAAAATCAGGATTAGAGGGGTTCCAGTTATTTGCAGGAGGACCAGTTTCTATTTAAGTCTCAAACATCACAAGAAATGTAGAGGATAAAATGCTCGCTAGCCCAGATATTTAAAAAAAAAAATCCCGGAAAATAATAACTGTGCTTCTTCTACCCCAGTATTTTTATTTCATCGCCCTGTTTTAATCCGTGCTCTGTCACTAATGCGGGGAACTTCAGATCGGTCTGTTCAAACACCATCTCTGCCTCCATGTGGAGAAAAAAAAGTTGGCTGCAGACTTTCAGATCTACACTGTTCATTATAAGAAAGGAGAAAGCAGGCACTGTTTATGTGAGCGTCAGTGGTCCGAGTGAGAACAGTGTAACCTTGGAGGAGCACAAGAGAACGCTACATAAATACTTGTGTTAGGCAACATTTTGCATAATTAATGCGTTATTTTTAACGGTTATCATTAACAATATTCGACCATAATAGCCGATGCTGAAAGCACTGACATGATAAGGCAAGCGGAGAGTTATTAAAGAGTAAAAGCTTTCTGTTCTAAAGTTTAAGCTTAGAGACTTTTCTGACACTTGCTGAAAGAATCACATGAACTGCTACAAATAAGATTGATGCGGTTGAAACCCTGAACTCAGTAATATGTTATCTGTTCTACTGCATCCTGGCTGCTGGAGAGGAAGGGTGAAAGTCACACAGTTAACGCTGACCTTGTTCTTGGGCAGTAAATCCTAATATTATTCTTTTTCCTCACCAAAGCAGAAACACATTCTATCATACCGATGCCGACAAGTCTTCCAAAATAAGGTCTAACCCAAGAGTCGGACATAAAAGTCAAAGAAGATCTGCTTAAGATCAAGCACAGCCGATGGCATGCGGGGTGCACGGATAAACAACTCTGAGACCAGAGCTTGCATTAACAATGGAAAACTTGGCAGCAGTCTGAATAACTGATTTATTCAAACTGCTGTATAAGGAAACATTTACACTAGTCTGACACGGCCTTTTCTCTGTGTACAACACCGGGGTGAAAGATTTAAGCTGATTTTTGTTTAAGTATGCAAATTATGTTAGACATTATAAACATCTGACCATGTTAAAGTGCCATACAATTATGCATGCAACATTAAACAGAAGCACATCGAACGTTCATGCTTCGTCAGTGACCACTCACGCAAACTTACCAAACACCTCCCTTCCAAATGCTGATCCTATTATACAGACACATCAGCTCATTTAGCATGGAAGGACTTAAAGCAAAAGCTAGGGAAAGGGGAAGCAACTGAAGAAGGTCATGCTTGTTTTAAAGGGGGGAAAGCACATAATTCTGCTGAAGGTCTCGTGAAAAGAATACCCACCAAGCGCAGGAGCCAGCCAGGAACTGAATGCCACCAGTGTCACAAGATCCATTGTACCTGTTTGGAAAAGTCAAACAAGATTGGGCTGTGTCAGGATGTGAAATCACAATAACAGGAAACAATAAATGTCTTAACCCGATTGTACACAGTTGTAAACCCCCCCCCAAAAAAAAGACAACTGACAAACGCAATTCAACTGGATTAATAACACACAGTTTTACTTTTCGTGTCTTTATTCAAGACGCCAACTGATTCCTCACAGTGCAGGCTGAAAAAAAGTAACTCAAACAACTTTCTTTATTAGCAACAACCTCAATCAGATGCTAGCCTGGAGAAGGAGAGGTATGCACTGGAGAAAACAGGAAGAAATAACACATTTGTGTGAATGAAAGACAGACAAGTGGGACAAACAAATAATACCATTTTAAGCTACAGACAGTGGACAAGAGAGGTGAAGAAGAGAGTGCAGGCAAGTACTGATTTGGTGATATTATTAGACAAAGGATGTTAACGATGGAGCTGCCAGGCAGGAGAAAAAGACAAAGGAGGTCCAAAGAGAATCTTTATGGGTGTAGTGAAGGTCATGCATAGGGTTGGTTGATAAAAGTGGATCCTAAGGACAGGGTAATATGGAGGCAAGGTAATCCGCTGTGGCGACCCCAAAGTGAGTAGTGGAAAGATGAAAAAGAAGAGCCTCAATCAGATGTTACCGGTAGCTGCTTATGAGATCGGGCAACAATCAAGAGGAATCTCGCAACGTTTTAGGAAGATTTTTGAAGCATTTTCCAGCTAGGGGCACCTCTTTAATGAGTTTTCTAAAATTCTAAGAGTTGTCTTGATCAAGGCATAATTTACACATCTACACATTAGAAGAACAAATTCTACAACCCTCATTTCAGATCTCATCTCCTTAACAAGAACGTCTGATTCCAAGACGATTTGGGAGAACTGATTACAGCAGATGCTTTTACCAGCCTGGACTTTTAGCGAATGTTTTTGTGTTCAATTAAGGCAAGTGAAAGATAACTTTTTGTGTTTCCAAAACATGCTCCAAGTTCACAGATGGTGTTTTTGTAGAACTATAGAAGCAGCCTGCTTACAACTTTGTGTGGTTATGAAGAAGCTTAATTTAATCTGAATGACATCTTTCTTCATGAATATCTGACATCCTCTAGTCTAAAATAAATCAGCTGCTCACACTGTTCTGCTAACGGAGAATCAGCCACTTTCGATGAAGTTCAGAACTGTTTTCACAATAGTCTATGGTTAAACTGAACTGAGTTTCACGTGGAAAATCATTGACACCATGCCTGGTAGGGAGACAATGCTCTTTCTCAGCTAGATGCCACATAACAGGCTCATGAATGTTTTCTGTATGGGAGTCTTAATACATAGTGCCTTAAATCTGGGTAAGCGAAGAGGGTCTATTTCAAGCGCAGCCCCTCAGAATATGGAGCTCAGCAGTGGAGGGGTACCAGGCAAGCCTGGTGTTGAGTTGCACTTGATATTTGGTCAGTGGATTTGGACTGGTTTTGCTGGGTCATCTACTTTACAAGTGGAGCAAAACCTTGGGGGAAGCATTACGGTCTATATATTACCTAGTACACTGGGATTCTCTTACACCCATATGTGTAAGGTTATGTTTTAGGTTATGATCTCACCAGATCCCACCCTTCATGATTGGAAATGGGCTGAAGGTCCATTCAAGACAGTATATGAGGCGAAATTTTGTTTGCTTCACAGCCCTAATTACCAAGAAAAAAATACCAAAACAGGACAACAAAAAATGTAATGCAGGTACGCAAAGCTTAGCTCTGCAGTCATAGAAAATCTAAGCCATGAAATAACATCTTTTGCAATGCAAAGATCAAAGCCTATGTTAGCAGAGCCAATGGCTCCCTCCCTGGCCCAAAGCACTGATGGGGATTCATGCATGACTAGAGTGGGGGTGTGAACACGAACCTGGAGCCTGGAGTGGAGAGAAATGAACACTTCAACCCTGGGAGCAGGATTAACAACAAAGGCCTGCCAATCAGGTTTAATCAAACAAATACAGGGTGAGTTATTCGAACAAGTGCCAATCCAATAATCTTGTTTGTTAGCCTTCTGAGTGATGGAGAGGAATATAATGGGGAGACAGGAAAGAAGCCCGTAGAGCAACACGTAAAATGAATTATAATGGGTTATAATAAAGTGGGATTAACACAGACTGTTTGCAATTAGGAATAGGAGCTTGTGTTTTACATTTCACTTACATAAACCCGTTACGGGGTATATTTAGACTCCAAACAGACTGCATCACCATACTTCCAAGGAACAACACTTGAGGTTTTTTCCTTTCGTAGTTTATTCTGTGAGGTATAGTCTGAAAAACTATGATATTCTGACATCTGTGCGAGTTGTCAACAATTGAAGCCATTCAGATTGTTACAGATTAAGTGACATTTCACAAGTTGTTGGCCACAAACTCACGGCTCAGCGCAAAAACGAGCCTCCAGTGAACTTGGCACGTAGAAGTTAGAGCAAATTTATGAGCAGGGAAAAAAGGCTTTCATAGTGCACAGAAGCATTGCAGGTATATGCAAAGAACGCGTAGGCGTGAGAGAAGCATGAGCGATGGCTTATCTAATTAGACGGTCACATGGTGGACGCAGGCGTTTAGTTGGGGGTGGTGGTGGAAACTACGTTGGAGAAACCAAGTAGAAAGACGATATCTTTCTAAGAACATATCTACCAATCAAACGCTGCTGACACAGGGTCCTGTTTATATGCGTGCAGAATCTATTTAATATATTTGTACCTGCATTAATATGAAAGTCGTGTTCAAGGAAACGCATTCATTTCAGCAGAGCACAAGTCAAAGTGAACTTACCGTATATCCGCCTCCTTGAAACTAATGTGAGTTGAGACTTTTCGCTCAGTGAGCTAAACTTTACTTGGAGGGGAGGAAAAAAAGTTTCCCTACGTTAAACACGCACAAATAAATAAATAAATAAAATGCATGCAAAACCTTCTATTATGACTTGATTAAAAATGAAGCCGTCTGGGTTGCATTCTGTGTGGATCGTTCACCATTCCCGCCTGGACCAAGTCGGTTTCTCCTTGGTCTTGCCTCAGGAATGAAAGGGGGAGGGGGAGGCGGGGTGCCACTGAAGTTACTCCCAAAAATTACCCAGGACTGCCCCGCTCACAAGTAAACAACGCAGGCAGAGCTGGACTGCAGCGCTACTGTGAGAGGACATCATCATCATCATCATCATCATCATCATTATTATTCCCACGCTCTTTGTTGCCAGCGCCTCTTGTCAACATGTATTCCATAATGAACTATTAATCACGCTCATTTCTCCCCACTGGCAAATAATAGCCACAAACTGCACGGAACACAGTGAACTCTTTGTTCTGTGCTGCAATTTCCAGGCTTCAAAGAGAGGCTCGGTGCAATTAAGCAAATAAACACTAGATGGCCAGGGCAGACTGTCACTGTTGCAGTTTTCTCTCAGCTACATGAAAACTTTGTTCGCGAGGTGTTTTTCCAAGTCAGAGTGCCAGCTTTCTGTCCCCTGACAGCAAAGCCTGGCCGGGGTGGAGGAAGGGCCCCCCTCCCTACTCTAAGGACCTTTAGTACATATAGGTTTCTTATAATGGCATTAGGTTAGCATTACTTCTATTACATGTGCAAAATGTCATGTTTTTCCAGTTTAAATTGATACAGGTTGCTAGAGGAAACACGCGAAGAATCACAAACAACCCACATACTGCAGAGAAAATATCTTTATTTAGCGGTCAGAACAATGTGTTTTTTAATAACAGACACATATTAAAAAGTATTGCAAGACAGGCAAGACAGGCAAGACATAACGGGAAAGGAGATGGAATAATTTTCTCCCCCACTAGATGGAGATATTGGTCAAGAATGAGCTCCATGCCTCTTTCGCCCCTTTCTTTCCCTCTTTTTTCTAAACCCTGGGTAAACAATAGAAGGCACAATCACCAGGAAGCAACTTAAACTATTCCATGAATCAAGACGAGGTGCTGAAGCAGGTTGAGTAAATCTGTGAACAAGCGAGATTCTTCATCCTGTTTAAGAGGGGAAGAAACATGGACGTGAGCCACTGTGCAGCTGTTTTATTCATGAGCAAGCATCAGTTAATATCTGAACTTTATATTTTATTACCTGTTAACCAGATGCTTTTGTCGGAACAGGACCAGCATCTCTACAGGCCACTGCAATGAAAACAAAAGGGAAAATGAACTTATAAGGAGACTGGAGCAAAGGAAAGTGTCCACTCGGGCACAGCGGAAATTACGTGTGATGACTTTGTACATGAAATTTGTGTTTTAAAAGAACTGAGGATTAGCACTTGTTCTTATTAGAGTTATTTTCTTGTGTTCTCTATGGACTTGTTGAAAAAAAAAAAGCCAAATAAACGACAACTCTGAAAAACTCAAGTCAAGGGAGGAAAGAGACGGACAAAACTCTGCTCTCCAAAGAGGTGACTTAAGGCTAGGACACAAAACTAAACATGAGGGCTCAAATTAATATTGCACCCAGATGAGTCTTAAGTGTCCTTGGATGACAAGCAGTGATTGGATTGCAAGCTTGGTAGCTTTTGATGGCCATGCCTGTCAGCCTTACCTGCTTTTTAATCAGTAATTACCACAGGGGATTCTCTGGCATTTCTTAATTAAATTGGACCAAATGCAATTAAAAACCACACTCTCATTCCCTTAAAAGGGCTCTGTGGAGTCCTTGTTTAGTTCTTGCTGTTAAGAGAATAAGCGGTTGAATGGTCATAGCACCTTCCCATCTCTCGCTGATCTGTACTTGATTATTTCAGTGGTCAAATTAAGTTTGCAGTTTGCATAATACGGGGAAAGATAGCATTTAAGATTAAAAAAATAAACCCTCTAACATGGAGCCAAATAATTAAAAGTTAATATCTGGAGCTCTGGATCACTATGAGAGTAAGTAGTGAAGCGAAGGCTGATCCTGTCATAGCACTAAGTGTAGTACTATATCTTCCCCTTTAACCCCCATATATTTATACACAGGAAATGCTGCAATGTGTCTTTAAAATACTCACCATCTGGAAAAGTCCCCAGCGCTCCAGGAGCCGACAACTACAGACACATCAGTTGTGATTTTTCCATCTGCTGTCGTCATGTCATCTTTGGAGTCGTTATTGTAGTTACCACAGGCGCCGCACATTTTACCAGACAGGCTACTGTGAATAATGACGGTGACCTCCTGAGAAATAGAGTAAGTGACCCGCACAGCGGACGCCCTTTCGATGATCAAAGCCCTCTCTGAGATTTGGACAGACAGTGTGCTTGTCACTTTGCTGGGAAGAGACACTTTCCTGCCATTTACCTGAATGACACAGATAATGGAACATAACTGTTATTATTATGGTATAAAATGTCTATTATTATCTAATATAGTATAAAACTGAGCTCAAACCAATCACATTCAATTTTTGCATAAAAATGTTCTCACCCAGGTCACGTGTTCGCTGTTCACTGCCACGATGGTATCGCTGAAGAACACATACACACTGGCAACAGTGGGAGCTGCCCCCTTGTTGCAGACCCTAACGTCCACGACCACACGGAACCACAGCTCAGCGCTCTCGTCACACAGAGACGCCACTTGGAAAGCGCCCTGTGCTCCTATCGCGCCTGACATACCATCAAAGGAGCTTAGCTGGCCATCACGGCTGACGACGCATTGGCCCTGCTTCAGGTGGCAACCCCTGACTCCGTCTCTGATATCGCAAACTTCCCCACTGGCACAGGACAGCTTTTCACACTTTACCATACCAGAGGCCTGGCACACACACTTTGACTTGCAGTCGTTGTCCACCAATTCTTGGCCCACCTGGGAAGAAGATGTTAAAAACTCATCATACAGAACTTGTCATAGCTCTATTCAGGTGTTAATTCAGTGACCAGAATATAGGGCTAGTCAGTTTTTACCATCAGATATCTGCCGTTGTACATACACCCACAGTCTTCCAGGACAACACACTGGACACCATTGAAAACGAAGCCATCATCACACTGGCATCCTTCAAAACAGCCCGGAAAACAACCAAACGGGGTAACAAAACTGGCACATGTCCCACTACAGGTGTCGGCACACAGCTCATAGTGACTGTGTGGAGGGCATGATGCAGCTAGAAGAGAAAACAAGGGCAAAAAATTTGTGCCTGAAATACAGAGCACAGATGAATACATGAGCTAATCTTCAGCTAGAGACTGCTGTGTGTTACTTACGGCAGAAAGAGTTGCTCCTCCACTGCTGGATTTGAACTCCTGCACTCTGGCAGGCCAAAGCGTAAGCCTGCACACTGTTACACAGAGTGTCTTTGTTGCCCCCCACAGCACAAACATCAAACACACAATCCGACAGATATACTGCTGGGTCAATGACACTGTGGCAGGCTTTGAAAGGCCCATTAGGCGCACTGATGATGCCGCAGGAGTCGGATTTTCCATACAGGACAGCTTTGGCCTGCTCACATTCTGGGCACTGTCCTCCACAGCCTCCACATATATACCCAGGTAGGTCCACCGTCCATGCCATCCCAAATTCATCAACGTTTTTGGCTTGTTTGCCACCAGGAAGAATGAAATCATCACCACCGTTCTTGTTGTAGTTTCCACAAAGACCACACATCTTTCCCTGGTATGTAGAGGGAACAATCACCTCAACATAATACACAGTGTCATAGAGGACTGTCAGTCCAAAGGCTGTTCGAACAATTATGTTGCGACCTTCCTGGGTTATTTTGAGACGCCCATTCTCCAGGGATAGCGGAAGGTTTAGTAGTTCATCATCCACCTTAAAGATCGAGACAAAAAAAAAAGAAAAAAAAGAAGAAGATCGAGACAAAAAATCATTTTTGGGGAAAAAAATGAGAAAAAATACAAGACATATTTACATAAGTATGTTTGATCAAGATAACAAACTCACAAAGACTTTCCAAGGCATTTTCTGCTGGATGTAAATGGCATAACCATAGACTGACACTGCCACTGACTTCGTCACAGCCACCTTTCCATTTCCAAACTTCTCATTCCCCTGAGTGACGGTGAACGGCGTCAGCTGACCTTTGTCATCATCACAAACCTTGGCCAGTACATAGACACAGGTACCCTGGAAATCAAACCTACGTCCATCAAAGGAAATGTAATGAGGATCACCGGAAGCCACACATTTGCCTTCCCCCTCTGGATAGCAGCCTTTCACTCCATTTACAAGCTTACAGATTTCTCCTGGACGGCACTTGGCCTTTTGACAAGACACAGCTCCATTGTCCCCACAAGTGCATTCCTCTGCGCACTTGTCTTCAGAATAGAAGACGTCTCCTTTTTGGTAGTACTGACCATCATAAGAGCACCCGCAGTCCTTCACAGGCACGCAGGTATCCCCGCTCAGGAGGTAGCCTTCGTCACACTCACAGCCTTCTGAACAATACCTGTGGCAGCTGGTAACGGGGGTTAAGCTTGCGCAGGTGGCTGGACAACCCGTGGCACACAGGCTGTAATGGCTGTTAGCAGGACAAGCCATAGCTGTGGGATGGAATGAGAAGATGGGAAAGCAAAGAAGGTAAAAGGTAAAAGATATTTTGAAACAAGAGACTTAATAAAACAGGCAAAAAAAAATAAATAATTCAAACTCACGACAGAAGCTTTCTGCTCTCCAGGAGTAGATGGTGACTCCAATGCTCTGACATGCAGAGGCATACACTTCCACAGCATCGCACACTGATCCATGGTGCCCTTGATATTGGCAAACGTCAAAAACACAGTCCTCCATGTAAGGAGCTGGGTCCACACGGCTATGGCAATCTTTAAAGGGCCCTGCCTTGTCTGCAATAATGCCACAGTACTTGTTGGCTTCATACACTTTCTTCTGGGAGTCTGAACAGGCTTGGCACCACGGCCCTTGGCAGACTGATGAGCAGCCTGGTACAATGGCCACCTGCCAGCTGTCCCCCAGCTGTCTTTCATTAGACGTGGTGTTGCCGTTGGGCATTGTCAGGTCATCCTGAGCTTTGTCATTGTAGTTACCACACAGGCCGCAGACTGCACCCTGGTAGGTGCTGGGCAGAGTAACGGTCACTGTGCTCTGCCAGTCAAAGGTCACCGTGATACCAGCAGCTGTCTCCACTACAGCTTTCCAGCCGCTGAGGGACACCATCAGCTCGTTATTGTAATTCAGTGGCAACAAAACAAGCTGCCCGTCGAGCTGAAAAGCAGAAAACGAGGGAAGGAGAAGGGAATATTTTTAGGAGCTTATAAATTTAATAATTTTGTGGCCCTTGCTAATCCACTCTAATGTGCAGTTAAATCTTGATTTAATTAAGTCTGCCAGGATCAAAATTTTAATATGCAATTAAAGACATATGCAGAAGAGCATGAGGGATGTCAGAATTAGTACAATGACAAAAGGCATTATCATCCAACGATTTGAGGCTCAGAGTATCTCTTCTGTTTTTTTATTTTCAATAAAGCGACTACATGCTGTGCCCTATTTCCTTTTCTCCTCTAATAGCTGCACAAAATGCATTAGGCATTCAATATTTTATTACATCGCCTATATGCTTCACATTATCCACATCATCACTTACCAAGACTTTGTAAGGGTATTCTCTGCTTATGGTGAGAGTGATGCCATATATGGAAAATTTGACGGTGCTTGTGTAGGACACGGCCTTGCTTCCCCGGTGGTCATTCTGCACAGTCACCTTGAACGGCACCAGCCCAGGCTGCTGAGAGCAAAGCCCTGCCAGCTGATATACACACGTGCCTTGGAAATTATACCTGCGGCCATCAAAAGTGCGGTAGTGCGGGTCACCTGAGGCCGAGCAAGTGGCGTAACTAATGGGTCGGCAGGCGCGCTCTCCATCCACTACAGTACACTGCTCTTTGGCAGAGCAGGAAGCCTCACGGCATGCCACAATGCCCAGGGTCATATCACACTCGCACAGGCGATGGCAAGCTTCATCATCCCAGAACTGCTGTCCTGGTTTGTAGTAGCGACCCTGATATGAGCAACCACATGTTTTTGCAGGTACACAGACGCCGGCGCTGAGGACGTAACCCTCGTCACACACACAGGTCTCCACACAGGTCCCGCTGCAGACCTGCTTTTCTCCAGTTAATGGGCAGGATGGCTGACACGGGCTGGCGCAGTCTTCGTAGTGGCTGTTGCGCGGACAGTTCATCGCTGGTTATGAATTAAATAGAGACAATCAGAAAATAAGAACTACATATTTGATTTGAATCATTAGACGAAGAGTTTTTCAAATACTTACGACAGCCAAATTTTGTTCTCCAGTTCTTGATTATTATTCCTTCGTCACGACACTTATCACTGTAGGAGGCCAGAGCCTGGCACAGCATCTTTTTGTCCCCCTTGTTGTAACACATGTCATACACACAGTTGTTCATGAAGGCCTGGGGGTCCACCTTTTCATGACACTTCTGGAACAGGCCGCTGGTCTTGTCCGCAAGAGCCCCACAGAACGCCTCGGTTTTATAGAGCTTAACATCGTCGTTGTCACAGGTAGGGCAGTTTTTCTCACATGTGTCCCAGCAAGGATGTTCCTTGTCCTGTTCAGGTGCTAGCCAGCTCTTGCCCCACTCAATGACTGAGGAAACTGGTTTGCCTGCTGGATTTAGCATTTCATCAAGAACATTAGCGTTGAAGTTGCCGCACAAACCACAGACCAAGCCAAAGTAGCTGCTGGGAAGCTTAATGACAAGGTACCAGTTCCAGTCATAGGAGACAACCAGACCAAAATCTGTCTCCACCTGTGCAGTGTTCCCTCTTTGTAACACTGAGACTTTACCATCACCCAAAAGTACAGGAAGATTCAGCAGCTCCCCGTCCACCTTTAAACAAAATGCACCAGAACAATGGATACACACATCTATATATGTACTGTACACAAGCAAATGTCAAAAGTAAGCAGGCAAGAAACTGAAACTCACCATGACTTGACCAACTTGGTTCTTCTGGATGGTGATCTGGTAATCGTACACAAACACATCTACATTTCTGACGTAGGAAACTGCTGTGTTGCCTCTGTTGTCATTCCTCTCAGTGATCAAAAATGGAACTAGACCATCCAGTTCGCCGCACGTCTTAGAGATGACGTACTTGCAGGTCCCCTGGAAGTCATAGTTGTACCCATCAAATGTGTGGTAGTGAGGGTCGCCCCAGGCCCAGCAGGTGCCTGTGTATTTGGGGATGCACGTAGCCTCGCCCTTCTCAACTCGGCATGTCTCCTGTGCCCGACACTTGAGATCTTTGCAGGGATCTGCAATGGATAAATAAAGAATAATTTTCAAATAGCTCTTTAATTGAACCCTAATTATTCAAGTTACTGTATTTTTTTCATTTACCAGTAAAGATTTATCAAATGGGTAAATACAAAATACAGTGTTTGTGTCTTGCCTGTGTTGTAACATGCCCTGATTCCGTTCTTGACCATGCATTTGGTGTCTTGAGGACAGGAGTGCTTTTCACAGATGAGGCCTTTTCCTGGATTACATGTGCACTTTCTGTTACAGTCTTCCTCATACACAACATCACCAGGCTGGTGACACAGAACAAGGTTCATTAGACATGGAAAAAAAATACTCATTAGAAACTAGTGAGAAAACATTATTTCATGCCTAATCAGCAATTTAAACACTAAAATTTTAAGAGCAAATCAAAAACCATAAATCAAACATCGAAATGTCCACCACTCTAGAGAAAAAGCATTATTTCTATATCAGTATTTGTTAAAGCCACTTTGACACACAGAAAAACTATATTATTGTAATTCCTCAGTCATACCTTATAAGTTTTTCCATTCTCATAGCATCCACACTCAATCTCTTTAACACAAGTCTGTCCATTGAATAAGAAGCCAGCATCACAGTCACAGCCTTCTGTGCAGTTGGAGGGGCACTGAACAATCTCTGTGAGGCCAGCACAGGAGGCGGAGCAGGCTTCAGCACACACTTCGTAGTGACTGTTGATCGGGCATTTCATGGCTGAAATAAAGTATCACAAGAAAAGAGAAATTATTTTAGAGATGAAGCCAAAATAGTATTAAAAGGGTATAATAAAGATGAATTTGTGAACTTCATGACTTACGACAGAAGGAAGGTGTTCTCCAGTTTTTGACATCGGCTCCTACAGCGTGACAGTTAAAGGCGTAGGCTGCTACGCTGTCACAAAGCACCTTTCCATCACCATTGGAAGCACACAAATCAAACACACAGTCAGCAAAATATGGCTGAGGGTCCAAGATGCTATGGCAAACTGCAAAAGGCCCGTTGGGATTGGTCATTATACCACAGTAGGCGGACTTTGAAAACACTGCCTTGAGAGCTGGGTCACATTCAGGACAAGAATTCCCTTCGCAGCCATTTTCACACACAACATTGGGAATGGTGACCTTCCATGACTTTCCAAACTCATTCACGTTATTGGTAAGCCTACGATTGGGCATCTCGAAGTCATCGTTTCTGTCCCCGTTGTAGTTGCCGCACAGGCCACAGACCTTACCACGATAATTACCAGGTACTGTGACTGTCACTTGATAGACCAGATCATAAGTGACAAGGAGCCCAAAATTGGTTGCAATAACATAACGATTGCCTTCTTGATAAACTAGAATGGCTCCATCATTTAGATTCATAGGAAGGTAGCTCAACACGCCATTTACCTAAAAGCAAGACATCTGTGTTAGTGCAAGAAATAACTCCACATCAACATTTGTATCTACATAAAAGAAGTAATTACAAATTTCTTTAAAGTAGGCCAACTACTCACCAGGACTCCAAACATATTGTTCCTCATGATGAGAGTGAAGCCGTAGACCTCCACGGCAACCAGCTTGGTTACAGACACCACCTTTCTGTTCTTAACCCTGTCCCACTGCTCATTTTCTACCTGAACGGAAAAGTCCACCAAGTGGGTACCTTCCAGTCCACAACTCTTGGACAGTGTATAAGTGCAGGTCCCCTGGAAATCAAATTTTTTACCATCAAAAGTGAGGTAATGGGGGTCACCAGCAGCTTGGCATACACCCTTGCCAACAGGGTGGCATTTTTGGACACCATCTTCTATTTTACACTTCTCATTAGGGCCACATGTGAACTTCTTGCACTCAACCTACGAAACAAACAAACAAACAAACAAAAAAAAAATCCAACCAGGTCAGTAAAAAGCTTCATCTAAATGATTAATCTTTACTTTTCCCTCCTCTAGTTTCCTTTACCTCTCCTCCTTTTTTGCAATTGCACTCCTCCTCACATTTCCCATTGGGATAAAACACTTCTCCAGTTCGGTAGTAGCGGTTATTGTGAACGCAGCCGCACTCCGATAAGGGAACACATGCATCTCCGCTAAGGATGTAACCATCATCACAGGAACAGCCCTCCGCACACTGAGCTTGACAGCCTTTAGGAGGAGTCAGACTTTGGCAAGTCACAGGACAGGCGATTGCACAAATTTCATAGTGGGTGTTGGTGGGACATTGCATCGCTGTATACAAGGGACATAAAAGAGCCAATTCAATTTAGAGCACAGAAGCAGGCAGCCATTAGAAAAGGTACATAAAACCTGAGGGAAAAGAAGAAAAATTCACTGAAGTGTGTAACATAAAAAACAAGACAAACACTGTTTATTCTACCTTTTCCTTTTTTCCAATTCATTAATTACTTATTAATTAATTATTTTTCAATGGAAATTATCTATAAAATGAAAGCATTTCTCACCACAGAAGTGAACCGTTCTCCAGTTGTACACATTGGCCCCTGCAGCCTGACAGGCAGATGTGTATGCTGTAATAGCCTTACACAGCACGTCCTTCCTGCCCTTATATAAGCATACATCATAAACACAGTCTTCAAAAAAGCTAGCTGGATCAACCTTGGCGTGGCAGTCGCGGAATGGCCCTTTTGCATCTTTTACCACACCACAGAAATCATCTTTTTCATACTGAACTTTCTGATTAATGTCGCAGTCAGGACAGACCCCTTTACAGCCTTCGACACAACCCGGGATCTCAGCCACTCGCCAGCTGGTACCGAAATCTACTGGCGAAACGGGTGTTTTACCATTTTTCGGGATCAGGTCATCCTCAGGTTTGCCGTTGTAGTTGCCACAGAGGCCACAAACGGCACCCATGTAGTTGCTTGGCAGTGTTACAAACACGGCACTGTCCCAGTTAAAGGAAACTTTCAGGCCAAAATCAGTTGTGACGACTGCATACCAGCCACTCTTGTAGACAGATATCTTTCCCTCCTCCAGGGTGATAGGCAGATTGACCAGCTCGTTATTCACCTGAAGCCAAATGAAACATTCAGTTTGGTGAAAATAGGACCACAATTCACAGAATTAACATTGTCATATTAAACACTAGGTACTTCTTACCATAAGCTGGCCTTTGTGTGTCTTAGTAATGATAATGCTGAAGGAGTACACCTTGATCTCTACTAACCCGGTGTAGGCGACCACCTTGCTGCCCCGGTGATCATTCTGCACTAGGATTTCAAATGGCACTAACTCTGGGTCCTTGGAACAGAGTGCAACAAGCTGGTAGACACATGTGCCCTGGAAGTTAAATTTCTTCTTGTCAAAGGTCATATAATGGGGATCACCAGTGGCCTGGCAGGTGCTGAAAGACAATGCTTGGCACTTTCTTATGCCATCAACCACTTTGCACTCCTCCCCGGTCCTGCAGCCCTTTTCCTCGCACTGAACCTGTCTGCTTCCAGCTACACATTTACACCATTGCTTGCAGCCTTGGTCAGCCCAGAATGCCTCTCCGGGAGGAATATATCGACCCTCATAGGTACAGCCACACTGAGCAGCAGGAACACACTTATCTCCGCTTAAAACAAAGCCTGCTTTACAGGTACAGGTCTCCACACAAGGGCGTTTGCATTTGGAGGAAGCATTTGGGTCCGAACATGTGTCAGGACAGGCGCTGCCACAGAGCTCATATTGGCTGTTTGCTGGACATTTGGCAGCTTTAGTGAGAAAAAAAGAATAATGTAATTAGTAATTCTAACAGTTAATGAAAAATAAATGTCGCTTAATTAAATTGTTAACTTAGTTAAATTACTCACGACATTGTGCCTTCTTCCTCCACTCTTGAACCTGGACCCCAGCAATCTGACAAGCTTCAGCATAAGCCTCCACTGCACTGCAGAGGAAATGTCGCAGACCACCTCCCATGCATAAATCATATTTACAGTCCTCTATGTATGGTAGTGGGTCAATGATTTTATGACATTTGCTAAATAGGTCAAGTGCAATGATGCCACAAAACAAGTCACTCTCCCATGTTTTCATCAGGCTGCTTTCACAGTTATCCAACCCATCTGTACAGCCATCTTTGCACTGAGCTTCCCCAAGCCCTGGCACCTTCCAGCTCCTACCAAAGGCCAGAGCTCCACCTGCCTGTGCGCCAGAGGGTGTGGTGAAGTCGTCACTGGGATTTCCATTGAAGTTACCGCACAGTCCACAAGTCTTACCAGCATAACTGCTGCACAAAGTGACCACAAGCCGTTGTTCCCAATCATAACGAACTGTCAGACCAAAATCGGTCTCAATGAGCACAGAGCTTCCGCTCTTATGCATTCTCAGTTTGTCATTATTCAAGGTTACTGGCAAACTCCACAGAATATTGTCAATCTGCCCAAATGAAAGATGAAAAGAATTATTTACTACACTGCATTTTGATAAATATTATTTTGAAATAATAAATAATAATAAATAATAATAATAAATAATTAAAGACAAGTCAGGATGTTTGAAAAATTAAACAGCTTTTTAGCAGTAATAAATTGGAAGGCTTACCCTCACACGCCCAGTCTCGGACCGAACTACTGTGATGGTAACATCAAACACCTTCACTGTGACCATGGCAACATATGATACCTTGAGATTTCCTCTGTGCTCATTCTGGGCGAGGATCTCAAATGCAGGGAGACTATCACCCTTGTCACAGTTTTTAGAAATGACATATGTGCAGGTACCCATGAAGTTAAAGTGTCGTCCATCAAAAGTACGGTAGTGAGGATCTCCCACTGCCCAGCATGTTCCAGGATTTTTTTTTACTGGAACACAGGAGGGACGGCCATCCTTCATCTCACACATCTCATTGACCCTGCAGGTGATGCTGCTGCAGGACAGAGATGCACTTCCTGTTAAAAAAAACAAAACAATAATTACTCACATCAGTCTGCTTAATAAATGTGAAATATTACTGGTGAAGGAGTGGGGGGAATGCTAAACATCAATACTGTGTGCTGCTTACCTGGCTGCACGCACTGTCCTAGGGACCCATAACCGTTCATCTGACTGAATCCTATACTGTAGAGAGCAAAAGGCGAACCTGAGCTGGACAGGGTGTGTTTGTTGTTGGTAGGGCTTTGGTTGTAGGATATTTCTGCCCAAGAGAACTCTGATCCTTCAATCTTTTTCCACTGCACATCACGAGGCAGCTCTGTATTATCCCAACGGAGTGTTGCTGCTGCACTGGTTTGTGCTACAACTAAAGCTTTGTTTTCAAACCCAGCTAGAGCCTCAAATGAGTAGGAAAAGCAGAAACGGTCTGTGGATATTACATTCGTCAAGAAAGGGTCGTAGTACAGTAACCAGCTATGTTCCACACCATTGAAGAGCAATAGGACCTGGATGCCATGATCAGCCTGAATGGACAGCGCGTCAGGATTGTGGTACTGGATCTCTATTGTCTGCCCTGTGCTCAAACTCAAATCATCTTTACGTTGGCCATTTTGGACAATGACACTTGTGTTCTGGGAGGCCTGAAGGTAGACACTATCAAAATTCTTCTGGAAACTCAGGGGAGGCATGACGAAGCTTGTTCCCCAGCTGCTTACTGGCAGTAGATGCTCATAAACATGGTTGCATTTTGCGAATCTCCAGGTACAAGTGTGACCACTGAAAACGGCAACAGGGTGTTTGGAGGAAACTCTGGTGCCTGAAAGTTCATATGAACTCTGAAGCTGGACACTCTCATATGGCTTGAGGTTTAATACCATTTTGCTGTTTTGATCGTAGACACGGTTCTCAAACTTGATTGCCCCTTGTGGGAAGATCTCAACTTCTTGGGCCTCTTTTCCATTTGTCACAGAGAACTCTTTAAATGTTGCATAGGGGGTTCCAGGAGGTGTAAAGATGAAATATTCTGTACCCCATTCACTGACTGGATAGATCACAGATGTATCTGCTGTGTACAGCTTGTAGTTGAAGGAGGTTACAGTCACATCTGCGGAGGCTTCAATACGCACTGTATTGGAAGACTTCGTGCTACCATACATTTCAACGCCATCGGGGAGACTGATGGTAACCACCTCTCCAGCATTTAAAGTTTTTTCTTGCTTGAAGCTTAAGGGAGGTACTTGCACTGTCACTTTAGTATTTGCCTGAATAGCAGTGATGTGGAGTTGATATTGGGGAGTGTCATAGTGCTGAAGATAATTCTGTAGGAAGGAAAGGGCAAACTCCCTCCCTGCCCATCCAGCGCTAGATGGACCTGGGAGAAGGTGAGAGAGCAGGAAAACAGCAAAAAAACACAGAGTAAGAGCTTTTCACATTCTCAGAAACGAAAAAGGCAGGCATCATCTTGTGCATGATGAAAATATGTCATAAAAGCGTCAGGAAATTAATGAGACAGTTTTTGCCAAAGCAGTCAAAGGATTCTCAGGCTGGCAATACAAAAACACGGCTTGAGAGTTCTTGGATAGCATACACATTACAAAGAAACAATATGACACCAAAGAGAGAGCGTCTAAAAAATGCCTCCATTTCAAAGTTACAAAGGCTGGGATGAATGCTACTCTATAATGAATGGATAGCTTCTTTCCTTGATAACAATTGTCAGAGATTTAGACGAAGGAATAGTCACTTGACTGCTTCTCTGGAGCACTCAATAAGTCACTTGCGCAGACAATATAATTGCATAATGGAAATATTATCAATATCTGCGCTTTTGCTGTGAAAAGACCACATTCTGGGCTCAGTCAGGGCCTGAGGGATTTAGATTACACTCCTGTTTCATCCATTCAGTTTTAATAGTGCCAACTCAATAGCAGCTAAAGGTAAATGCTATTCCCAACAAAAGCAAATTTCAATTTAGATGGCTATCCTTTATGTGCCGCACTCTCAAATTCTTTACCTGTTTAACATTCTGCCTCATTCACACAAACACCTAGTGTGGTGACACAACAATGCTTTCAAATCATGAGACTGGAATCTTGGATAAATTGCTTCAAATTGAGCAAAAAAAAAAAAAAACCCCAAAAAACCCAAAAACAAATTGAGCAGTTTCATTCTGCAAGGTTTGTGTGGTTTGTATCCTGAGATTCTTAGTTTTCATCCATTTTTACGAGGTAATTAATTTAAGGTGACTGGAATTAACACACAAAAAGAATATATAAGAATATATATATAGTTTTCTATGAACAATTGAGTGAATTGATTCTTTGCAAGAACTGAACTGATTTCCTGCTTTTATAGTAATATTTGAGCTGGCACAATGGACTTCTTTGAGAAGTAGAAAATTAATCAAGCATTCAACCACTAAAAATAATTTTTCTGTTCAGGAAAACAACTAAACTATAATTAGTAACTGTAATTTGGCATCATAGTAAAAAAACAACAACATTTTTTCAGCTGTTTTATAAGCATTTGAAAATTCATGGACAACAACAACAACAACAACTATATTTTAGAATTAAAAATATAATTGAAATCTACGTGGACACACATCTCGAATTGAGTTGAAGAAAAGAACAAATGTATCCAAGCAAAATGAAGAATGACCAAATATACTTACAGCTGAGTAAAGCTGCCAAAGCGCAAAGTATCAACAGGGCTCCCATGGCTGAAGGAAAGAAATTCTTGTTTTAATTGCTGAAAGTTTTCTGAGTTATATTATTTAACCAGCCTGAATCGTAAAGAGCCCAATGCTTACCTGCTTCGAGCAATGCTTGGGATGATAGGTCTTTCACCTTGATCTTTTTATAGCCTAATGGGCAAAAGCAACAACCAATAAAAAAACACGAAATGTCCACAACTCTATCAAAACAATACCCTTCCTCTAAAACAAATTTAGGCAGAACTTGGTTGACTTGCTGTTTGTTAATATGGGTGTGACGTCTAATACAAACTATAGGCCCATGTATGGAATGAATCATTTATATTTTACTGTGTGAGCACACTTTGGTATCTGTCAAGAATTCTTAGATGTTTTTAATGGTCTCTGATAAACTTTTATTAAAAAAGAAAGAAAGAAAGAAAAAAAAGTATGTTTTTTTTTAAGTAACTCTTGTTCTCATTTTCTCTTACATAAATAATAAAACATAAAGCTTGACCCCATTTTACAAGTTTTCATCAAAATAAAATCTAGTGACACTCAATATCTAAACACTGAGAGATATAGGCTAATTTTATTATCAGCTGATATCCAGTTGTATATTCTGGTGTAACCAAACAATATAATCTGTTTTAGATTAGGAAAGGCACGAACCTGATAAGGCCAAAATCACTGCTTACCTTCAAAGTTACTCAGATCTCTTGATAATAGAACAACTTTGAACAATACAAAAGTCTATTTTTTATTTTATTTTAATGTTGATTTCTGATGTTACAGTTGCTTTCTTATTTTTTACTCAGTTTATGTCTATAACAATGATCATAATCATCATCACAATGGCCAGAACATAAAGTGCAGTAACTGGCAATGATTCTTTCACATTGCTGTGGAGGAACCTTGTCCCACTGCTATCTGCTAAACTGTTGAAATCCAGCCATATGGGAGCATTTTCAAGCATTAACTGACAAAGCATTGTGATAGGATTTCAGTCCGGACTTTGACTGGGCCACTCCAAAACCTACATTTTATGTTTTTCAGAAGTGGACTGGCTTTTGTTTCAGATCAATGTCCTGCTGCATAGCCCAAGGGTGCTTCAAGGCACTAAATAAAGACTGGACACTACTTCAGGATTTTCTCATAGACTACAGAGTTCATAGTTCCATCAATTACGACAAAGCACCCAGATCCTGAAGAAGCAAAGTAGCCCCAGAACATCCATATTACTAACACATTTTTTATGAATTGCTGTGTTAGTTTTACATCAGATATAACAGGACTTAAACCTTCTGAAAAGTTCAGTGTTTGTCTCATCAATCCACAGAATATTGTTCTAAAAGTCTTGTGGATCATCAAGATCACTGGAGTCTCAAAGCCTTGTAAATGGCCTTGCAACCCTTGATACATGTCAGTGACTTTGTTTTGTTTTTTCAGTTCATAGGATAATGTGTCCCTTTTTGAGCTCTTTTAACCTACTTCACTTT